TTAAGGACGGCATACTATTCATGAGAACCAATAGAGGTCGCCACTGTCAAATTGCATTGTAAAATTATATCAAACTTTGAGAATGACTCCTGGGCTTATACAATCATTTTTTAGCTTGGTTTTTGAAAATATAAATTCTACATACATTACTCTAGAGCGACTGTATAAAGGTTTTACTAAAAAGACAGTAATTACTACAATATTGCTAAAATAAGAGGGCACATTTCATATTTTATTTTAAGCAATTGTTGAATTTTAAAGTACAGTCGCTGTAAAACTGCTCCTCCTCTTTCAATATTGAAAGTTTTGTCATTTAAAACCCAATATTGCGGCCAGGAGTCATTCTCAAAGATTTCATTTTTAAAAAGTTACATCAATCACAATGGCGGCAAGCAGCAGTAGTGCAGCTATTTACTTCTAGATGTCGCTAAGGTACAACTTAACTTGGCGCGCGTCTGTAAAAAATATAAAGGAACTGCTGCATCCCATTATGATGTCATTGAGTACAATGAATGGTTGTTTGTCTAAACACGAGTACATAAACGCGACCTATGCCAACATTCCTTTCTCTTTTACTAAGATAAAATGACATTTGTGATTTGAATGTGTGTGGGCGACCCTCCAGAAAAGAAGACAGGTAGTTAAATCCGTTTGGTAATTTTACACGATTGTGCAACGCTGCCCTTATCCTATGTCTATCCTACGACGTGCATTTCCTAAAAATCACAGGGGTGCAAAAATGCATTTATTATCTTCGTTGGCGCAGAGACCAGATCTACTGTCCAAATTATCCGGGTATGCTCAGGGGTAGAGATCATGGGGGCGGGGGTGAATTTTCAGTAAAAAAATATGAATTGCCCCGAGTAACAATTTTTTCAGCACGGTTAATTTTTTACTTCACTGCACCCTCGTAGCGCCGCTCCTGGGCATCGTCTGTCAATTTCGAGAGCAGAGATGGACTCTACACCCCCAATAACCCCCGAGTAGGATTTCTCCCGCTTTTCATATAAGGAGCGATCAAAAAAGGATTGACAATCGAGTCGCCGATTTTCTGGGTAACCAAAAATTCCAAAGGTTGCTCAACAACAACTCTTTTTTGATCGCATAGTATGAAGTATTCGTGAAAATAATGATTACAAATTGTAGGTTTGACAAAATAAACAGTTGGTTGTAAATAAAGCAAATTCCCCTATGTATCCTTTAAATTCACCACGTCAAAGAATTATAAGAATATTGACAAATGAACGTCAAAAATTTTATTTGCGATTTCGACTGCAGAGCGAGAGCAGAAGGGCTAGGTATTTGAACAAAAAAACATGCCTTCAATTTGTTGAATAATCTCTGGTAATAGTGCATAATCTGTTTTTGCGTGTACTTTTAAATGTAATTTAATCTATGTCAACCAGCTGTTTTTTATCTCGTTAAAATAAGCAAAGGAATGTGCACAAGGTCATGGAAGCCAACATGTAAAAGTAATTAAATTTAGAGCATACACAAACCAATTGTGTAAGTAGAGTACTACCTACTCGACACGATGTGGCAGCACAATTTATTTACTACAAAGATAATACTTCACTATCTTTCGATTTTAAAACATGCTGCGACCTCTGATATTTAATAGCTGAATCAGGGTTGCCTCATTTCATAACTGGTTCAATTTTTTAATTCGTATGCCGTCCTTAAGAAAGAGGAGCTCTTTTTAAGGAAATGGCTCTGTGCGTGGCCTCTAGCGGTAGAATGGGAAACCATAAAATAAAATCATTGGCATTGACTTTGTGTTTACAGAGAAAGTATACAGATGGCGTAACGGGTATTAATTTAACATAGATATATTATCTATGTAATTTAAGCTTAAACATCATAAATGTGAAGTGGAAAGAAAACAAGTTACAGCCTTATGAGGCCATCTGGCCCGTCTTATATATCAATAACTTTCCGTCCCAATATCCGTGCGAGAACAACTGATAAACGTACCAAATGTCACGAACGCAAGACCGATTCACATTAACACACAATTTACCAGGGCTGAATGCTCCATGAATGCACCCCATGAACTTCAATGTAATCATAACTCATAATTGGCACAAATAATTAAATACAACCTCTGAAATCCTGCCTGGTACTTTTGCCAGTGACAACCAATTAATCAAAATCACCTTCGATTTTCTGAAGGCACGACACAAACAAAAAACAATACAATGCGTCACTCAGAATTCCAGAATGAAGCAAATGAAGTTATCGCTCCGACATTTGAATCTGAAATGAAATCAAGGGACAAACAAGGCTTTACTACTATTTTTATTGCGCTACAAGCTCCGCCCAAACAAACACAAAAACATACAATGTACTGGGTCCAGAAAATGAATAACTCAATATCACAAATTTATCCAAATCGTATAACTAAAACCAAACCCCTAAGAATTAATTAACCGAACTTATTTTACCCTATACACAATAATGTTCACAGTAAATAAAGAAAATAGCTTAGACTGACTTTCCATCCCAACTTGACGTCTTCTTTTCTTTGTACAATCAAGACATTGGTTTCTTCGGATGAACGTGTACCAAAAAAGGCCCAGGTGGGTCCGTCCCCCACAAGGTCGTGCCCGCAGTGTTGTGGGTTGCACGCGGTGTCATTCACCTCGATTATCTTCAAAAGGGCAAATATTATTAATAGGTCACTAAAGTTACACAAGTAAAGGCCAAAAAATTTCGGAGTTTTGAAATAAGTTCTAATAAGTTGATAATAATCCTTATGGGTAGGAGGTGAGTTCGAGAGAAGGGGACCGCTTATAGGGGCTCTTTTTTTTAGTTTTTTACTTGTATCCCAGTAACTGCTACTCGTAGCGATAAGTTTTTGAGATAAAACTTAAAGCTGAAAAAAATTACTACAAATACAGTTATGTGCTTTTTAGCGCTATTGTCCGTACTTTGTCGGTCTGTCCGTCTGCATAGAACCACGTTTGTAGTAAATGTTGTTAGCTTTAAGTTTTATTTCGAGAACTTCTCATTGCGAGTTACTGAGATACAAGCGAAAAACTAAAAAAAAGTACCACCTCCTCGAGCCCCCCCCCCCTCCCCCTCCACATACAGCACGAATTGTCCGCTGTACGTACATTATTGGTTCATTTTACGTACGTACGTCCATGGGACAAATATGTACGTCTGATGTACGTACAATTCTGTACGATCACAAACTATAACTCTATAACGTACATAGTACGTTCATACATGGTACGCATGCAATTTCGCTCAACTGATACTTTTTCATGTGATCATTACATGCGCACGCGCTTTGCTCTTTCAGGTCCCAATACCGGTTTTCCTTAATTGAGTTTTCTAATTTATGTAGCTGGACAGTACGTGTGAGTCATACATAGTACGTACAGCCCTGGATTTACGGATGTTCATTTCACGTACACTTACGGTTTTTTGTATGTAAATTTCACGTACATTATATGTTATTTTTGCACCACTTTATACTTTGCCGTACGTACCATGTACGGAAACAAGAGTAAGTACATTATACATACATAACAGTATGTCTAATGTACGTACGGCAGGGTTAAGAGCAAAGATAATTAAAATATTACTTACACTTACACTAGCACTCAGAGTTGGACTGGGTCACTGGGTCAACTGGGTCACCTGGGTCACTGGGTTGCTGGGTCACGTCATACTCTTTTCAGTTAGACCCAGTGACCCAGTTTGACCCAGTGACCCAACTTGACCCAGTTTGACCCAGTGACCCAGTTTGACCCAGTTTGACCCAGTGACCCAGTTTGACCCAGCGACCCAATTTCACCCGGGGACCCAATTCGACCCAGTCACCTAGTTTGATCGAATAACGCAGTTAAGTCAGTGCCCTCGGTTCAAGTGTACAGATTATGAAATAAATGAAATGCTGGTTTGTTGAAAATAATACTCGATTGCTTGACAACTACCATTTCTGTGATGTTTGCTTTAATACTGCCGTAAAAAACTTTCCATGTCCCGAATTGTATTAGAATAATGTTATTTCTTTGCTTCAGGGCTTACCAGTTTGCTTACAGGTGTTCATTCACATTTAATTTTTTTCTACTAGTTAGCTTAATCCAAATAAATCTTTTCTCTAAATACTTTCATTGACTACTTGACTACAAACTATAAACAAATGCATTTGATTTTTTTAGGTATTAGTTCTCTTGAATGAAATTGGGCTACGTGCTTGTTGCCGAATATTATTGAGGAAGTTTTTTTTTAAATTAAAAGTTACTTGAAATTGTTTTGGATGATACCTAACAATAATTTAATTACTGGGCCACCGGGTCAAGACGGGTCACTGAGTAAAGCTGGGTCAAGATGGGTCACTGGGTCAAGCTGGGTCACCGGGTCAAGCTGGGTCACCGGGTCAAACTGGGTCACCGGGTCAAGCTGGGTCACCGGGTCAAGCTGGGTCACTGGGTCAAACTGGGTCAAGCTGGGTCACCGGGTCAAGCTGGGTCACCGGGTCACCGGGT